TATTTCAAGTATGAACAGAGAGAGAGAGAGAGAGAGAGAGAGAGAGAGAGAGAGAGAGAGAGAGAGAGATAAAGTTCGTGTATACAAGTATACGAGTAAATCATAAATGAAGTGAGTCACGTTTTCATACCCATGTTATATCTGGTCCATTTGGATGTAAACACGGATGAGGATTGGGATCGATGAGTCCAAGATATCGCAAAGCTCGCACCGTGTCGCAAAATCCTTTAAACCTTAACGTGCCACGTAACACTTTGTTTGCGGTATTTATTCCATATAGTTCTTTATACATTGTGCTGTCTCGATTTGGATAACCTTCCAAAGCGAACCCTGGTAAAAAATCTAATTCTTCAGCAGCAGACATCAAGTCCCCACCGGCTGGTATTTCAATCACCTTTGAAATAAATAATAGCATTCGTAAATTATACGCAAGAAAAAAAAATACGTGTGAAAAATAAGAATAGCTGAAAATAAAAGACAATTAATTAATTACATTATTATGTGCGTTTATGTAAATTCTCAAATCATTTCATTACTAATTCATCAGTGTATGTTACGCCAGGTTTCCTACAAACACGCCGTGTTACTACATGTTTCCGGACCGCTGGACTTTACTAAGTTGGCAGATTCTACTGCAGTACTACATTCTACTACGTCCGGAGTGTAAGAAACGACCATAAATAGAACAGAGGAGCAGGATGTGCTCTTGCAAACGACAATCTCTTAAGAACCAGTGGTAGCGAACATGGTCGAGCTGCGGAAACCGTGATACTGTCCAGACACAATGTCCTACGTCAGCAGTGCCAATATTCGAGAATGGTAAATAAATGTAGAATAGGGGGCGATCCTTAGCTATAGGGATGAAATTTTTACTTGGAAATTTCTTGTTCCTTTCTCCCGAAATTATGACGCTTAATGAAGCAGATAATGTGTGCAAAAATTGTATTGGCTTCATTTAATTTTCAGATATAATTGTATTTCGTTATTTTAGAAATGTTACGTTACGTTCGTTCTGAGATTGTACGTTTGGTGTGCAATAATGTTATTACAAAATTGTAGAACACACGTGATGAAATGTCAGCTATATATTACGAAATAAATACGGTCTAATTGAATAATCATTTATGAATAGAGTTAAATGTGTGGAACATGTTACTTACTTGTTCATCATAATAATATTTCGCAGCCCCTAAAGTATTTAATAATACACCTCGCGGTGACCAACTAAATTTGTAGCGTAACGGATTGTCGGAACACTCTGGAGCAGGTAAACCACCGCACCAAGACACGAAAGACTCTATTTTTCCTCCAGCTTGCTTCACGTTATCGAAACATTCTAGAGCCAATAAATGATCGATCCCAGGATCTAATCCTACCTCGTTAAGTATCGTTACGTCTGCTGCTGCAGCCCTAATGTTATCACAAAACGACACAATGAATTGCTTATCAATCATTCAATGATTATTGCCATTGCCCCTAGTTTATGATTATTAGTAACATCTGTAACAACGAAATAACATTTAAATTTCCAGCGATAAAAGTTCATACTCACTCATCGTGTAAAGCCTTCATTTCGTCGTTCATGTAACTTGCAGTCACCAAATGAGTCTTGGCTTTTATGCATGCTTTTGCAATAACATGGTGCAAAGAGTAAGGCAATAATGAAACCACAACATCCGCGGATTCGACAATGTCTCCCAGATAGTCTGGTCGTTCTAATACATTCAGAAGCATTGGTTCCACTCCGGGAAATTTATTCGCTAATACATCAGCCTCTTCGTTTAACTGAGATGCAACAATCAAACGTATGTTGCTAAGTCTATGTAAATATTCGACTAATGGTCCGGAAACGAAGCCTGCACCAAGCACAACCACCTGTTTTTACAAATTAGTGCTGCTTCAGTTCATTATTTATCAGGTGTTTATGGTTAACAAACATCTCTTCTAATTGTTTAATAATATTTAATAGGAAAATATTTGTTAGAGGTTTCTTTAAAAAATTGCGAACTAAATTAATCCTTTAAGTTGATCACATTCGCCTTTTCGCACCCAAAATTGATCCTTTCGTAGATCATACTCACCTTTTGTCCTATTTGCAAGTTTCATTCATCTTTTCGCAAATCAAATCTACCTTTTTGCAAATAAAACCATCTGCTCGTAGATCAAAATTGTCCATCTTTTAGTAAACTTTTTGAATTTGATATGAATCTATACATATACTTATTTATAAAATAACATAAATTTCATTACAAACAATTAATCTTCACTAATATGCAATAATTATTTTTAAAATGTCATACAATTTTTTAATTTAATACGAATTTTGTTACAAATAGTTATATTTTCTTTTGCAAAAAGATAAATTAAATCTCTAAAAGGGTGAATTTTACTTTCAAAAAGATGAAAATGATCTAAAGGTGAAAGCGATATACAAAAGGATTCATTTTGAGTGCAAAACGGTATTCCAAAACTGCATATGTATTTTCATTGCGCAACAATTAAATTACACTTTAAAGTAGTGATAAGTTTAACGTAAAATATGATAGGGTGACAAACAATACAGGCATTAATAATTGCTTAATAGCATCAACGCGGTTATTGTCCTATGTTAAAGCAAAAGTTATTTTTAAATTACAATGAAACAATAAGATAAACACTATCCACACACACAGAAGCGATACATAAGAATTTTTAAACTGTTTTTAATCAAAGTGAAAAACGCTGATTCAAATATTCCGTTCTTGAAAATGTTTACTCAAAGCAAATATATACCCTTCATCTCGAGAAATAAATATTGAGACAAGAATTTATCATATATTGTCGAATCTTTTAACACTGACTCATACATCATTCATTTGTGGGTAAGAATTATTTACTCAGATTTCATAAATAATTAGTACGCTAATATATTATATCTTCCTAATTTTGAATTTAAAAAATGTAATTGATGCCACATAATCAAGTTTAACTTGAGTCAAAGTATTAAATAAAAAGTAAGTGAATTTACCGTTTTGTTTTGCGCTTCCCTGTTGTCTGCTTTGTGCTTGCTACGTTGATTCTGTAATCTCAAATCCTGAATATATTCGAAATTTGATGTCAAACGCCCGTTAGATGCAATTATTGCGTCGTGCACTGCCGGACTAAATTTGTGTTGTTCCAATGGTAACTTCGCGTCCGATTGGATAATGTCCAACAAGTACGGATACAAAAGATTCCCAAAGAAATCTGTGGATTCTTTTGGGAGCTGAGTCGGCATATTATCTATCGAGCACACTAGGACTCCTGGACCTTTGAAAGATTTCGTGTCCTTGTTGCGGTCGGCGTCATACAAACAAAATGGAGTGTCAATTGTTGTACACTCGTTCATAAATCTATAAACATTCCAGAATTATCTAAGAAAATTTTCTTTCGTTAACATTAGTTCATAGTTATGATTAACTTTACAATACTTAGCATCATCATTTTTCTGCATGCGCTCGCTAAGATATTCGAACACCTTTTAAAACAGACTAACTCTATGAAAAATTAACTAAATGATTTTAAACGCAATAATCTTTTTAAAATTGAACCGTACGATTTGAATTTTTTTAAATGTTAGACTAGTTCATTAGACAATGAGTAAACAAGTTTCTTGTAAAAACTGCAATTGGTTAGAATTACAAAGAAATTATAAAATTGATGTTTTTTCAACTTTTTTATTTGAATATAGGAAGAAAACTTAAACATTGCATTTTGTAAGTCTCTGTAATTTCTATGTATACTGTAAGAATTGTGAAGATCTTTCGAACAGATTTAGATGAAATTTTTAGCATGCGTATGAGGTACCGAGACTTTACTTTCAAGAAGATAAAAGACGTAAGTTTTTACTTTTTTCATTATTACAACTAATTGCAATTTTTGAAAAACAATTTTAAACATTGTCTAGTAACTTAGGTCCTTCTACAAGTCGAGTTTTAGAAAAGTTATTCCGCTTTAAAAAGTGTTCGATTGCTTTTGCGAAGCACTGTAAATACTTTTTTACAGATTACATATGTACACTTTATCAATTCATGAAAATCTACAGTCTACTCGTAATAATCTCCCACCGATTGAATTTTGTGGATTTTTATTCGCTCCAGAAAATGTACTTGCGTATATTGCCTTGCCTTTTTGACAATTTCATGGCCGTGAGGAATAGAGACAACAATGGTTTGTAATATTCAAGGCAAAGATTCCATCGCATAAGGGAAGCGAAAATAAACGGAAGTATGTTTCTGTTGGACTTCGAATTAGGGAGCATTCTAAGGATAGCCATTTCGAGCCAAAGCTAAGTGAAGTTGAAAAGAGGGCTCGGAAGTCATTTGGAAACATATGTCATAACGTTCAAGGAAACAAACAGAACATTATGCGGAAACAGTGGAGAAGCTTCTTTACCCTTATAAAGCACTTGAGTACGCCTATACAGGGATATCCACTTAACTGAGTACCCGCGCGCTCGACAACAAATGCGACCAGCACTGACATGACACATACAGACACCACTACATTCGTGCAAAGTCATCTGTCTGAGATTCACTGACGTCCTGGAGAAGATAGTTCGTCGGTCAAGTTCTTCCATGCTACCTTAACTCATTGTTTGGTTTAGTACACTGCGGTCAGAAGTCACTATCAATCCTTGCACGTTTATATAATGTTGCAGATAAGCAAACTTTGATCAAATTAAGCCAGTATCCACAGGAAATAAATCCAAAGAATAAATTCTCTCTCTCTCTCTCTCTCTCTCTCTCTCTCTCTCTCTCTCTCCCTCTTCGTTCAATTCTTACAATTGATTACTTTAATCGTGTTTTGTTATAAATCACGTACGAGGGTTAATATCTTCGGAAATCATTCATACTCCTTGCAATGTTCAATCCTGTCTTAGTACCGATGATTTGAACAGAGTTGTGTATTTAAAGTACAATATCAGGTCAGCTATTAGTTTTTAGACATTAAAGACAATAGGCCAATAGGCAATAGGCCCCACCAAGACGTCAGGTAGGACATTAAATGCATTTAGGACTCGGTTCTGGTGTTAGTCAAATAAATAATAATGATTATTAATCTTACTCAATGCTGCCTCCAGGATCGGCAGATATATCACAGATGGCTAACATTCTATGAGGTAAGGCAGGTGCACCAACACTCGTAGGCAACCATGGAGTACAAGCTGGCCTTAGTAAATATTTCGCATCTGGTAATGTCAGCAACTTTGGCGAATCAAGTGCCCAATATATACCGTTAATAATGACTGACGCATATGGCGCAATCGTTTTGCTGAAAGTGGAAATATATCTCTCAGGATGCTTATCATATTCTTCAGGATCAAAACCACCACCATCTTTCCTCTCTAGATGATGCCTTCGTCTTACCTCGCACCCATATATCTTTGTCATATCTAAAATATTGAATACAGTCAAACATTGTAAATTGAATTCGATGCAAAGCCTATTAGTACTCGTGGTACAGACTAAAAAAAGTGACAATTTCACGTGCAGTCTTACCGCCATGTTCAGCGACTTTCTTCAACATTTCTGGTGGTACGTATTCGTGTGGAAGTTCTTGGAAAACCTCTTGACCACCTTGACTGACATTACCGCTACCAGTGAAAATGAAGGTCAGAGGTCCAATGGATTTCGGCATGGCACCCAATGCAATTTCATAACCCGCATCTCGTATCGACTGCCGCGCCATTGCCGAATCCCTATAGTTATGCGCTGGCCCAATATGCTAAACAAGTATTAACAATTACAGTGGCTCGCGAAACTGTTCGAACACCTTTTAAAACGGAATAACTGTTTTACGATTGGACCTAACGATTTGAATATCTTTAGAGAACGGAAAACATTTTATCCCGATTCCTTCGCTGATACAAGAAATTCTGTCCCTTTGTGAAAAACACTCCTTTTCTGCAAATGTACAGTGTTCAAATGTTTTTTATTTTTCGAATTATTTATGTTTTCTTTTTGCATCTATTAATACTGTTCATGTACGTTTTTATCTTCGTTCAGCTTAAGAATGGAAAATACTAAAGAGCGGGTTACAATTATTGAATAATTATTGAACATAAGAATTTTGTACATCAACTGCAAGAAACGAGAATTGCATAAACATCGATTTTTTGTCTTGAATAAATCTGATGAATTATAAATAATATAAATAAATCATTCATTTCATTTAGTCATTTTTGTCTCATAAATACATAAAGACCCACAGTCTAGTTATGACTACCGAATATGGATAAAAGAAGGTAGAGGGGCTGGTAAAAAAGAATTCATTATTATTAAAGAATTATTGTTATTGAAGAAGATCTCCCATCAATCATTTGAGTCAACGAGTGAGTTAGAACAAGATTTACAAAATGCGTGGAACGAAATTACAATAGCCGACTGTGTGACAATCATTAATAATTTACAAAAAATGCTTCAAAAATCTATTGCAGCAGAAGGAGCAAATTTTTAACACTTAATGTAAATTTCATTGTTCAGTTTTGTGATTAATAAGGTTCATTAAACTGGTGAAATATATAGAATATTGAATCGAAGTATCCTTATTTTCAAAGCAGCTAAATATATATAAATATACAGACATAGGGACAGAAATTTCTCACTGTACGTAGAAGAATGACTATGCTCCAGTTGGATGTAGTCGGAACAAAGCATTCGATGGGAGATGAACCTCAAAAGATTTCCATATATGGACGTCGTTACGGTGAATCCAATTTTGGAACTGATTACATTCAGTGAGATCGGGCCGAGTATCTCTTTCGAATCAAGTTAAAATCGTAGATACCACGAGTTCGGATAATATTCTACTTTCTGGAAAATCTTTAACCACTCCGAATTCCCGTGTTGCTAGTGCGACATCGAACAGATTACTGTACTCGCGTAACTACAAAATTCAACTCAAACCTTACTGCCACACAACGATTGTAATAGACTTTATAGTGTAATATATATATTATTATTAATACTGCCTTAATAATGCCTTACTGGCAGTAAGGTTTGAGTTGTATATATATACAATTTTAGTCAAAAGGTGAATTGGGCGAAAGTTGATTTTAACGCATCATTCGGATCTAGCGGGAATATACCAACATTTTCCAGTGGCTGTCTAACTTAGTAGAACTGTTCGCATAATATAAAATTCAAAGAAAGTCATCCAATCTATGCGGTTCCCTGGTTTCGCACCAGGTTCGTCCGTACCCTATAGCTTCCTGATTTTGCATCAGGTTCCTGATGGTTCGTGTACCTTACTAATAACTGACTACGATTTGCCTATATTACTAGTTCATTACATAAGAATCTCGATCTAGAATCTAGAATCTCTCTTATATAATATACAGGACATCCAAAAAGTCACTCGCAATAGAAAAACAGTGACCAATGAGAGGCGAGATCAGCTGGCGCGTGGCGACTAGCCAATGAGAGTGCATTGTGGCAGCCGAACTCGCCTCTCATTGGTCAGGATTATTTGTTAATAACTCGTAAACAAAGCTACGGATTGCATTTTTGCTAAGGAAAATATTATTCAGATGACCTCAGGAACCCCTCATTTCCCGATTGCGAGTGACTTTTGGGACACCCAGAAAAATTTGATTTACGAAAAGGTGAATTTGATTTACAGGAAGCTGATGAATTTGAATTATAAAAGGATGAATTTGATTTGAATAAGTATGAATTTAATTTGGAGAAACGTGAATATAATTTTCAAAAGAATGGATGCGAAGTGCAAAACTTGTATCTTAACGATATTATCCATAGACATATCTCGAGTCAAAAAGGATGCACGTACCATAAAGGGTGTGTGGTGTCCAAGAGCCAGCAATCTCAATCCGAGTCCATGTAATATGTTCACCATACCAGCCACGCCAGCGTACTTCCCAAAAGCCACTACCCTTTGCCCATTGACGTCCGTTAATTTTTCATAATCCAACAGACGTATGTTCTTTTCCAAAATAGCATCCAGGAGAGGCATGTTGCTCTCCTGCGCCTTGATCGTGTGAGAAAAGAAGCAGTAGGTTTTGTTTGATATAAGCTGGTCCACGGGAACTTGCTTCACTCCGAAAATCACAGAGGCAGAGCTAATGTCTTCCTGGAGTATAGCACCCGCGGCTTGGTACGCTTGTGCAGGGTAAGCCCTTCTGTTGCTCGGCTGCACTATCACTCGCACCCCTGCCCTATTTAACCGGCGAACATTCGTTGGTGCCAAAGGTGCTCTTCTCTCCCATACTGATTGATCCTCCCTTCTGATCGCGATTACTTTACCCTTCAAGTGCTGTAAAAATCACAAGCTAATTACTGATACGAGCCTTACACTCATAATTAATCCTTTTGTAGATCACAATCATCCTTCAGCACTCGAATCAATTTTGTATCGATCATATACAACTTTTTGCAAATCAAATTAATTTTTTATTTTATTCATTCTACGACAAATCAAATTCACCATTTTGCAAATATAATGTTTGATTTTTAAATTTAACGTGAATTTATGTATATACTTATAAAATAATACAAATTTCATTACATATAATTAATCATCATTAATCTTCAATAATGATTTACTAATCGTCATTCAATTTTTAAATTTAATACGAAAATTATTAGAAACGATTACGAATAAGTAAATTTAATTTGCAAAAAGGTGTTTTCTATTACATGTTATTGACTTGACTATTATATAATATCAATTTGAATTGCAAAAATGATCTACGAACGGAATAATTTGGGATACAAAAAGATTAATATGATTTACAAAAGGATTAATTATGATTGCAAAACCTGTATTAATTTGAGCAGATTTGTTAAAAATGAAAGATTTTAATTTCGGTTTGCTAGTTATTTAAAAACTGAAGGCTAAGAACGAAAGGAATGGACATATTAGATTAATGATGGAAAATATGTCAGTATCAGGAAAGCGAATTACAATTGCCTCTGATTCAAATTTAAACATGACGAAATTTTCACTTATTTGTTTACGCCAACACTTTTTCGTAAAAAATTGCATTTCAATTCAATTTATAGATTTGCAATTTGAATTCTAACGTAGCCACTGAAATTCACGTTCAGTTCTAAATTTGATTGACAACATAAATTTAACTACGAAAACGCCGAACTGTTTCTTGAAATTTTTCTACGATATGAAATTTAAATATTTCCAATTGAAATTTAGTTTAGTACTATTTTCTTTAACAAGCTTGTTGATTATTAAATGTTTGTTTATGTTAGTGTTTACATTAACGAACGTAGCTGTACGTACGGTTGTCAAAGCGCGTGTACTAAATTCGCACTTGTGTAATCGCAAAATCCTCATATCTTCATTAAGTCGAATAAACAATGTTGTAAAGGGTAAACTGATGGTGTAAAATTTTCCGTATTCAGGATTTTATGTACAATACACAGTAGCGTAGCAAGAAACTGCCGTACGATGAGGCGGCGCGATTACTTTTACTTTGAATGTGGTGTTTCCATATTGCTGTTTTGATGTTACATAGGTCAAAGGGGTCATTGCAAAAGTATTACTACATCACTGATAAACTCGTAGCCATTTAATTATCTGCAGGCTTCAACTTTCCTAAGACACGTGAGCACGAACACAATCATAGTGATTCATATTCAAATGTCGTATTGCTTCGGAGTCTTTACAACAAACAACAAATTAAGTGTCGCGTAATTTATTATAAAACAAGGTATTTATTTTCATTATGAATATACACATATATGCGATGTTGTTTCGAAACTCGAAAAATTCATTAATTTCAAGAAGGAATTTTAAAGCTTGAAAGCATCTCTGGATGATGATTTGTTTTTATTAGTTGACTCATCGTGCGACATACGTCCGACAAGAATGAGAAATTATGCGTATGGGATGAACAAGGCAGAATGTTAACTATCATTCATAGAGAAATTTCCAAGAGATCAAAGCGGAAATGAACAAATTATCTTTGTGGCAACTATTAATTTCAGAGAGTGTATTTTTCTGAAACTTTAATAGATAACTTAAGATTTCAAATACTATAAACAACTTGAAGTTACACAATAATATCTGCTTGATTGATATTATGCTGTGGTAACAGCATTTCATCATTCTGAAATATATTCTGTTATAATTAGAATAATCTGTGTTCAATCTGAAAGAGAAGAAACAAACAATTTGTTTCATAGAAGTGTAGAA